CAAGTCATTAGCATCAACTGCCAGCCGCCGAAGGTGGACTGCTCTGAGGCGCCTGGGGGTCTGACTGGACGTTGGCGGTAGCGGTCTTACTGGGCATTTGTTGGGCAGTTGGTGAGAGGAGTTGCGACATGAACCATTACAAGACATCCTTCGTTTGGGTGTAGGAAATTGATTTTCCCTGCAAGAGAGCTTAACAAGCCCAGGCGATGATGCGCTAAAGACAGAGGTTTCAGGACCTTCCTGACAACGTCCTTGAGCTTGAAATACATCCTTGGAGGTACATGAAACTATAGCACCAGCAGGGTTCGCCCTTGTTGGCACCCATCGGTTTTACGGTTCTTTCAATGTTTGCTGTATCTCTTGGTCAAATTAAAGAGATCCCCAACCTACGGTTTTATTTTTTGTCCTTGTTTCCTTCTATCAGATCTTTCAGAGTATACGCACAAAAACGCTACACGGCACCACGGGACATCCGACGCACTTTGAGTGAGGCTTCCAACAAGCTCTCAGATCTCTTTAGCTGTGTTGCTTGGTCGAAAATTGATACAGGTTGGACATGTCCAGAGCAACAGACCAAATTAAGTATGCTTCTTGCCGTACTTCCCTGGGAAAATGTAGGTGATTCACCTGCCATCCATGGAAACTTTTGCCATTTATGTTGCAGCTCGCGAGTGTTCTCAATCGACCGAAATGTTGGGGAGCTCACCGTTTCAGCGATGTATTTTGAGGTTCTTGCATGTTCTTACCAGGCCTTTATGAGGGCAGACCATGTTCTCAAATTGCCAGACGAAGAGTCAACAGCTTTAAAAGAATATTCCCAGGTTGGCCATGTGCCTTGCTTCGGCTCAGGTTGAGGACATGGATGTGCAGCTGATGTTCAAGAGGAATAACTCCTTAGAATTGATAGCGAAGATCTCTGATGCGGTGAACAAAAGTTGGCACCTCAGATTCTTCATCGAAGAGTCTGAAAGGTCCACAGTGCGCTGATTTTGACAGGTCCGAACACTTCCGGCACGGAAAAACGTTTGGGAAAACAGAGAACAACTGGCTGTGGCTGACAGCTAGTACAGTTAGCAGATTGGCGATGGTTTGTTTGTTTTGTAGGCTTCGAGACAAAAAGAGAAGAAGTAGAAATTGAAAGTCTTTGGCGTTGTGGAAGCTTTTCAATGTTAAATATGTTTTTGAAAGTTGGCTTGTTTGGCCTCACAAGTTCCCATTCAGTGGCATGTTGCCGCACCCACCTTTGGAACCATCATCCAGTATCTCTTCGTCTTTGGCACAGAAAGGCAAATGCATTGTGTGTGTATTGAGGGACTGTGCCAATTTGCATCATGCCATGATTCATTTGTTTTCCTGCATTTTGCACAGTGCTCATCGTTTTGACAAGGTGACTGTGCCTACAAGGGCAAGATGCTCTATGCTGTACCGCAGGCCTGGTCTTCCAACATAATTATAGTAAAGCTATGTAAGACTCAGTTCAATCGAGCTCAAGAATCAGCCATGGGCCATTATGATTGAACATGAATGAACTTTAGATGGTTTGGGAGCCTCTTTTTGGCCTTGGCCTCTTATGCTTTCAAGACAAGGTACAATCAACCAGTCAAAGCATGGATCCTTGGTGAGGTGACCTGCATGGTGGGCAACTTGACGTGACCTGGCAATGAAAAATGGTTCCACTCCGAAGCTGTGCAGGCTTTGCGAAAATTGCTACCTCACCAAAGTTGGTACAAATTGATGGTTGCACTTTCGAAGAGGTGTTTGGGTGTTTTGTTTGCACCAATTCACTCAGAAATTTCAATGCGAGTTGAAAGTGTTTCTTCTTGAGGCTTCAGGGTTCCAATTGACAACCCTTTCCCCTTAGAACTTATGGCACCTGTAGCGGTCAAGTGTCCTCGCTCCAAAGCTCTTTAATGTTCTAAGTTTAAAAGCGGGTGATAATTGACCGTCCCCCACCGGCCACGCAAAATGGACTTCCCAATTTGACCACAGCTGATCCACATGGACGTTGCAAGAACAGCCAGGAAGAAAGCACGTTCTTCCTCCTGAAGTATGATTCAAAGGAACTTTGTCATTCTTAGATTCTTGCCTGAGCACCATGAGCGACAAAGGAACCTGGTTCCTGGCTATTTATATTTGGAGCAGCAGGTACAGGATGTGCAAGAGCAACAGGGTGCCGGGTCTTGACATAGCCACGTATTCCCCCGGTGTCCTCGTTGAAATGCCCTGCCTGGAAAAGACACTGAGCAAAAGACTCAAGTAATGTGAGGGATGAGGATGCTGCGAATATGCTTTGTCAATTTTCTAGGGTCGCTTCCAGACCGCCATTCCGATCCTGGGTACGAAAGAACTGAAAATGACGTGTGTGTGTGTGTGTGCTATTAAATTGTCTTCGCAGCGATCGTGGTTAGCCACAAAATCTCCACCCCTGAGCTGCTGGTCCTCAAGGGTCTGCGGAGCCTAACGGCCTAGCGGCCTAACGCCCAGGGAAAGAGTTAAGAGTGCGAACAGCACGGGCTACGAGCGGCCAAGCGCACAGCCAATGGACCTGCCGGGGCCGAAGGGGTGTTTGCTTTGAAGGGTGGGCTGGTGCAAACACCATGGAGACATGAGCCCACCCAGTCTCACTCAGGTGAAGCTTGAACAAATCCTTGAATATTGGAAGGTCGAAATATAAACATGTAGGTAAGAAGATTCTTAAAGGAGGAGATAGATGTTGGCTTTTCCAGTTTTGGCTTTGCCATTCTGTCGCTTGGCTTGAGAGGCAGCCAAGAAGGGCTCGTATACTACAGTGATACTACAGTGTTTGTTCTGTTGAATCCATGTCCGTCGCTACATTGGTTCGCAAGATTGTCTCCAAAACACACATTGTCGTTCAGTTCATAGTCGTTATTGTGATCAGCACCGTATTTAAAATTATATGTATTTATGTGCGGATTGTTCGTGAGCCATTGATATGAAGCTATTAGGAACAAGTGCGTCGCTTCTAGGAACAAGGGCCTTACTAGTAGTAACAAGAAGCTATTAGTTCCAGTGGACTGCATGTTGAGTTCCAGTGGACTGGAGATTTGACGATGTTCCGAGGCCCATGATGGAAGAGACTGAGGCGGTTGACAGGGAGGATACGTGTGGTGGATGGGTCAAACACAACCGTGCTTGATTTTGCTTGTAGAGGAGGACCGAAACGTTTCCCAAATGAAGTTTACAAAATGCAGAAGACTAAACCTTATGCGCCTTCCAAGCTATACATGTGCCCACAAGAAAGATGAATCACCCTCCACAATATGTCACTAGGATTCCCAGTGTCAAAGATCAGCGCACTGTTCACCAGGCGAAGCGTGGACTCCGCTCGCGGGTGAAGCGCGGAGCGCAATCGTCTTCGCGCTCGCTTGGCCACGAGCTTCCCTGACGGGCACGACGAGGCCAACAAGGCCGACGGTGGGTGTTGAGAAGTCAAGGCCTTCAAGGCCACTTCAAGGTAAGGTGTCTCGTTGGGAAAAACAACATGAAGGAACGATTGGAACGATTTGGTCTTAGGATGTCAGTCCTAGTATGATTAGTATGGGTGTGGTGAAGGCTGTCTTGAGACTAGTGAGTAATCTCAGTTAAACGAGCATGCAAACAGTGGAGGATGATATTCCTCCAGGAAGAAATTACAGTTTTCTCTTCGTTGATTGAGGAACCGGTCTTCTTTTTTCTACTCAGGTGTATTGGAAACTTTTAAGTTGCTTGACGGGGAAAGAGATTTATATAAGTTCATTGCACCTTGGCATGCATGGTATGCTTGACACTGCATGCTAGCAAACGCATGCAAAGCCTGGCCCCAGATCAATCAAGCAGGAACTTATCCATTTGCTTGGCGGCTACAGAGCCACCCCATATTAAAGCGAAACATGACATGGACATGTATGTCCTTTGCATGCAGGGAAGCTCACGTTTATCCACTCTACTCCACTGGACGGGGTTCCACACCACCCAGTCCTCTCAGCATCTCTCAAAGTCTTGCACATCTGAACAGGTCACGCACCAATGTGGCAGGTGTCAAAAAGGCTCTCCGAATGACATGTTTTTTTGCCACGGCTGCCACGAGCTTTGGGGAGTTGTTCAGTCACTAGAGTCCCTACCCTGGATCCTCTCTGGCGATGCAAATGCAAAAGGCATGTTTGACATTGCAAGACACCGAAGTGCTCGAGCTAAGCCAAGAAGACTGGACATCCATCGCTATTTCAATTGAAGTAGGACTGGAAAGAATGTAATCTTTGCGAGTTTTGGCGGCTGCTCAACCACGTGAAGCAGAAGAAGAAACATCATTATTCATTAGCCATAGTGATCATATCTTACCCGTGTCAGGAAGAATGTCGGAACTAGCAACAATGAAGCACTTTGGCTCCTTTTCTTCCCTCTTGCCACTCAGAACACGATGTCCGCCTTCTGAATTTCCATGTCGACCATCCAAACTGTCAGGGAGGGTATCAGGTATCATCCGTCGCCGGATGGAAATGATCCAGCTGTTGGCACCGAAACACTGTGCTCAAGGTGTTGGTCCTGGTAGAGGCAGATAATACTAGCGGGGAGAAGTCAAGACTCAGGCATAGCCGATCAACATACGTCCGGCGAGTAGTTGGCTTGACCCAACCAAAAGCCAATCAATTTGCCATGCCTAGCCATGGGCGAGGGCTACTCCAGAGAACAAGATGAAACAACAGGCACTGTATATTCGACAAAGCTGGTCTTCGCAACCAGTTTACATCTGGCCATGGTGACATGACACTTGACAGCCATCAGCATGGGTGTTTTCCCAGTAACCAGTGGGTCGACCCTGGAGCAAATCAAGCACCACCACAAGTGCCACGCGGGTCTATGTCAAGACGACTTGACTACGACATGTAATACCATGGTTGTCATCATATGACGATATGACATAATATGAATGCTGAGCCCAGCTTGTTTCTCAAGCCCATGGGGCATGAAGACCCAAAAAGACTTCCTCAGCTGATGGTACCATGCTCGACGACCTTGCACGGATCCTCGCAGAGGCGGTCCGGGCGCCTGGCAGTCGCTCAGTGGCTGAAAAAAGGGACTGCAGACAGTCGCTAGCTACGCAAAGATGAAAGTGATGTCGCTCGCTATGCATGTTTTGCTTTCGGAACATCGCACTCAGGTTGACCACGCTGAGAGCTTCCCCTTGAATCCATTGCTGTCTTTGGAGCACCCCGAGGTGCGAACGCTGTGATCCCACCGGCGGGAGGCGGACAATCCAAAGACATGAGGCAAGACCAAGTGTGCAAGGGCCTCACCCTTTTTCGGAGTCCTTAAAGGGTGACTTAGAGCTCTGCAGGACTACCAAGTAACTAACTGCCAGGACGCAGAGTTGATCCCTTCCACTTTCTAAATGTGGGCCGCGTGGCAGGACGCTCAGAAGTCCACCGTCCAAGAGCTTTGGAATGGATCTGCGGTGCGTGATGAGATTCCATGGGCCACCACCTACAAGTGGAGGCTGGCAAGCACCAGCTGAGCGACAGCTGTTGACTTTGGAAACCCCCCAAATCTCCACACCCATTAGCACTTTATATCTCAACACATTGTAAGTCAATAATATGGGCTAAAACAGTGGCAAAGGAGGGTCTTGATTTGCATTTGACCAACCATTTTCAGAGGAGTTTTGCAGTCGTACTTGTAGCACTGTTTGCTGAAAGATCACTACTGCAGGTTGGATGAAGCCTTCGGTTTTGAAAGGATTTGGCAATTTTTGTAGATCATTCCAACAATAATGTCTTTATATGAGACAGTGACTTTGCTTGCAATTGTGATTGTCCACTTTTGTTTGTGGCCCAAAAGCTCGCGCCCTTTCAGTCAGTGTGCATGTCTTGCAGGGAGGGCTAACGAAGTGCCACAGCAGTTCCTCACATGACCAGTGGGGTTCGGGGCCCGCAAGGTTGCAAGAACATACATGAATGGTTTTGTATTCTGTCAGTAGCTCATGTGTTTTGCAATGTAGACCAAAGAGGGAATCCACTCATTCCAAGGTTTTTCCCTGGCCATGCGGCCATGTGGTGGTGCAGGTGCCAGCAGACCTTCCAGACACGGAAGTTGGACTTGGTGTGGCTCGAGGATTCAGATCAGCCGGTTGGAAGTGAGGAAACTACAAGGTGTCAGCTTTGTACCTTCAGGGAGGAGAACCCACAAGGAAGAATCTAACATCATATGGACCATGGCAGTGTCATTTCTTTTTCAAGGCAGAAACTGAGGACAGCATTATGTGCTAGTTGTTTTCCTTAGAACATGGACAGAAACGAAACATGCAATACAGGTTGGCAAACTGTTTTGAACGGGCATATCGCCTTCCACCAAGACCACAACATCATACCACAACATTCTCTGCAGCACTTGTTGTAGAATTGTAGAGTCGGCAAAAATCGCAAAGCATTCTCTGGGGGTTTTGCTCCTGGTAGAATGTAATTAGAAGAACCTCGTGGCAAAGGACACACAATTTACTAGGAACATTTAGGAACCAGGATTGTCCAAGCAAAGAACATGTTGCTTTGCCGTGCTGGTTGAAAGGCTTTACTATTCTTCAACCTTTCAAACGTCTACAGCAACTTCCCGTCCACCATTGGCCTCCGACTGACTGGGTCCGCGCAGAGGACAAGCAGGAGCAGCGGGAGTTAATGTCCTGCTGGCCTCTGAAAGCCCAACCACTCTCCAGTCGCTGGTTTACTGCAGAACTCCAGTTCCCTGAGGCAGGTCAAGGGTCGCAGGGTTATAAGGAGTGGGTTGTGGTGTTTGGGGCAAGATGTTTCGGAGCAGCTTTTCGGATCTTTTTTGTGTTTGTGACAAAAAATAACCTACTTGAGTGGCAATTACCCCAGCGGGTACTCTAACCTATGGTCCCTGAGCATTTATAAAAACTCTGAAACTCAAATATATGAGAGTGGTGATTGAACAAGGTGTATTGTCGTAAATGCCAAATTGATGCTCCATCTCCAGGCTGTGGCACATAGGACTCCTGTAAGCTGTGAGCTTTGAGCCGATCCACTCATTGAAGCTCTGACTTAATAAGGAAGGATATGGAAGGATCGTGGAACATATACGTTCACTTCCTGGTCATGTGGAGCTGAAATGCAAATAACTTTGACACCTGACGTTTGGGCTCCAGGTATTCGTCCAAGTTGACTTCTGAATTCTTTTTCATTGGCTAATGCCAGTGCTGGCCTGGTATGCCAATGTTGCAGCTACATGTGAGGCTGTATATGCACCAATCTCGTCGCTTTGCAGCGACCAAGCGTGAGTTGTATAAGTTGCAAAGGTGCTGTGATCGCTTGGCGCAGTTTCAACGGAGAATCAAATTTGCGCCTCTAGAAAATATCACATTTGCCGACACAACTCTCAGCCTTCCGCTCGCAGCAATAGGTCCTTTATCGAGGTGCCCATCTCAAGGTGAGATTGAATATTTGGTTGGCTTTTTTGATGGCGATGGTTGTGTCAGTATGAGAACGAGCACTGGGCAGATTCGACTGCAGGTCGGCCAAAGCTTTGACTCAGCAATAGTGCTGGCCCGTTTCCGTGACATTCTTGGAGGTGGCATTTATCACCACACCTGTGGCACAGGATCATGCAAAGCAATGTTACAATGGGAGGTGACAGGGACTCGAATGAGACAGGCTGCACATGTGCTGTGCAGTGTTCCTTCCATGAAGCACGCACAGCTCCAGATAGCAACGAGAGGTACTGTTCCCAAGGAAAAGAGAATCGGAGTGGCAGAGAAATTAAGTCGTTACAAGCAGCGGGAGCACAAGCCTGAGCACATTTTGTGTTCATGGCCGTACTTGGCTGGATTTTTTGATGCTGAGGGCTCGATTACTGTTTGTGGATCACGTTTCGGACTCAGGTTGTCAATCAGCCAATTGAACTCCTTTGTATTGGAGGAATTGCAGGCCTTCCTCCACCAAGATGGGTTGAACAGGTGGTCAGTTTCGTATGGCACTGGCGGTTGTTCGGTGCTTGTTTGCCAACACCTTGCTACTTGCAAGCTGACACTGCAGCGCCTCTTGGATAGTGGCCTTGATGTCAAGAAGAAACAGGCGGACCTGGCTATGTCCCTCACCCGCGAAAATCACAAGCAAGTTCGTGAGGCCATGTTCCAGTTGAATGGTCTCCAAACAAGGCACAATCGCTTGGATGACTGGGGAATCGACCGTGCCAAAGAAATACTCAGAGTGCGGGAAAAACTGCGTAAGGCGTCCTCAGAACAATTCCTGGAGATGCTTCAAGTGAAGCTGTCAGACCTTTGCGAAGAGCACGTTTTGCAGAAGTTGGTCACCAAGCGCAAGCGCCTACGCCAACACATCCGGCAATCATTGGGAGAAGGCGGTGTTGTTGTCCCACTGTGATTGAGCTAGACAAGGATCCAAAGATTTGAAGGTTTCCGCGAATTCTGCGACTTCTTGCGCCGCATGAAGAGATGTCAGGGTCGTCAGTGTAGGCCAGAGTTTTGATTTTTTGTGTTCCGATGAGTTTTTTGCACGAACCACCGGGTCTGTGAAGATATTGTTAGTTTACGCTGCAAGATTTACTTGGAGGCGTTGGCTGAGCTGGGCAGCTGGCTGGACCATGGCCGCGCAGCCGCCCGGATCCCCTTGCTCGCAGCTGCATCTTTGAGGGTCGGCGGAAGGATGAAGATTGGAAAAGATATCGGACCACTGATTATGATCAGCCTCCTGTATGTTCCAGGAGAAAAGAACATGTTTGTTGAATTCTGTTGACATGGGAACGGTCCTTTCCTTTGGATGGGGTCCCCCCATTTTGAGACACACTGGTCAAGGATGTTGACACTGTGCAGTGTTTGCTTCTTTCTTCTATAGTTTGTACTAGTACTAGTATGGGACCGAATATATAGTATGTGATAGTCATAGTATATGAGCTAGGATCAAACTAGTGAAATGGTTAGTAAGTGGTCATAGGATTTATGTGGATTTATTTATGCATGTTTCGCTCAAAAACGATAACACCCTCACCAAATCCTGATGACTTCAACTGCACAACAAATTTTGACCGTCACTCATATATGGTTTCAAAGACATGAACCCCCAAGCTAGAAATTGGTTCCTTGGCTAGAAGCTTGGAAATTCACTGGGTCGAGAGTCCTGAAGCAACCTTTTCCAAACTTGAATGGCCACCCGCCAAACTAGCATGGTGTTCAGATGAGATTGGGTATTAAGTAGCAGTTTGTTGCAACATATGAACAGACGTGATGGAGCTGTCCCAGTAGCTGTCCCCAGGAATTCTAAGTTCTGGCTTTCCGGCTTTCCTTTCCCAAGTTCACATCCAACATCGATCCTCACAGCTCGACCCCAGGTTGTGAAACCGCGACATGCCGCCTGTGGACAGGCCACGGTTTGGCTCTGGGGCTTGTGAGGCGTTGTGGCTCGGCAACTTTGCAGACCAATGTTGATCAGGCTCAACAGATTGTATACCTGGACGACTCGATCGATCCGTCGTGTCGGTGGTGTCCGTTGAAGCGACGAGCTCAGCAATGCGGAGCCGCGTCACATCTTCAACAGGTTGTACAGCAACTTTCAATCCTGGCTACTAGCTACCAGCCATATTTTTTTGGGTGGATGGGACACATGTGACACATGTTCCATTTCTGCATGGGTCTCACGGCTAAAACTCAACCAAAATCAACGTAGCACTATACTTTCACTGGTTTCATGGACAAAGGCTGAAGAAAGAAACATACGTTGTTGACCAGAATTTATATAGCGCGACTTGCGGACTCGAGTCAGCCACTCCCCAATTTGTATACGTTTCACTTGTGTGTGCGTGACGAGTGACAAACCAAGGGCTCTGACGAGTATCTTTAGCCTGAATGGGAACCTGTGTCCGTCAACATTTCTGTGATAGGCCAATGTCTTGAACAATTACCTCCAAATGTATTGAAAAACAATGAAAACTGCCTGGAACATGTGTTTCAAGAAGGCCTCGAAAGATTACCAACAATGTGTCCAAACCTATGCAAGAATGCTTCGCAGCTCGCTCCTCGAGACTTCCACTGCAACAGCCCCAACCAGGGCCTCACAGTGCTCCAGCCGGGTGCCACGGAGCCAGAGAGGCTCCAAGCACTAGAGGACGCCTTCAAGGCGCGCGTTGTTCCGGGCCAACATGGTGGAGCTGACGACGACTTTTGAGGTTCTTTATGGGCAGACAGTCCAAAATGTGCAGAAGAGCTTACGTGGGTAATGGCAAGGAGGTCCTGTTTGGGAGGGAGTCCTGTCGAAGAAGATGGGCGCTTCATCTTCCGTACTTTTGTGTTTAGCAGGAGGTCCTTTCAGGGCGAAGGAGCTCGTGGGGCTGTTGTTACAAGGAATCAAATCCATGCTTTGGTTGACTGGCAGATCCTGCAAGTCGATGCAGGTGGAATGCAAGAAAGGTGAGACCTGGCAGCTCTACCAGGCAACGCCCGCATGGTAAAACCAGCACTTCGAGTCAGAAGGGCCACCAAGGTGGGGTCAACAGGTGGTATGGGGTGGTCCATCTCATGACTAGGAGTCTGGAGCCAAACACCTAGAGTCGTTCTGAAGGAACAACGCATGTAAACTGTAAAATTGCAATTTGAGGAACACCCCAATGACCATGGCTGACGTAGAGACTCATGAACACTTTTTCATGACGAGCGGGCGGAGGTTCATTGTTCAGCAGGGTTTATCACTCCCCTAGGCCCTAGGTCGACATAAATAGGGACCTTTGACTCCCAGCTGACAGAGGGCATTTTGTTGTGCACTGCTGGCTGGCCAGGATGACCGCTCCCCATCAAATAGGGGTGCATGGCTTGCCATGCTTTAGACTGAGAGCCTGGGCTATATCCATGCAGATTCCCCGAAAGCTCCATGTTCCACACCGTTTCACTGCACACCTGTCCTTGGGCCTGGCTTGCAGCATTCTACGTTGGAAGGTCGCCAAGGGTGTGGGTGTTGAGGAGGTGTATCCGAGCGTCGGGGCCAGTCTCAAGGCGGGAAGAGCACGTCAAGCAGATCTGGAGTGGATGGTGTAGTCGCTGGCTATTTGGCAATAGATCTTAATTGGCGGAGGGTAGATGTTTGACAATTCTTAGATTTCCAAGCTCGAATTGATTCAGTTTGCATTTACCATCATTTATATAGGGGGCCTGTATGGGGAGGCAACAATTTCTGTATGGGTCAGCACGGGAAGCATCCGCAGCATTCCGTCATTTTGGGCGCAGAATAACCGCTTGATGTAACTTGGTGTAGAATCTGTAAACTTGAGCTTGAAACAGCCGTTGTTTGATACCCTTTTTCTCACACCACCTTTATGTTGCAGGCAACTTAGGGTCGCACAGACCGGATTGGTTCCCCTGAACATCCATGATACATTGTTCCACCATGTTCCACTGGAACCACGACCCATTGTAATTAAGGTCTGTAATTTAGTTCATGTGCTGTTTTTGATTCCCATGGTGTGCACTAAAAGCTGTGGTTTCACCGCTCATCTGGGGCCAGAAACATCGCCCAAAGCATCCAGCGTTCATGCCAGGAGCCGGATCGTCCCTTAGAGCTGAAGCTCCAGACGTCGGGAGCCACGGCTCAGGGAGGAGAAGTGCAAGATGGAGCCGTTGCAATTTTATTTGCTGAAACAAGCAATGTGAGAAACTTCATGAAACTTCTATATTTGGATATATTTGGGTGTTGTTTGTTAACTATTCTGACTTTGCTGTCAGATAATCTATTTCAGGTCCTGCATCAAGGCGATAAATGGGATGTTTGATCTGTGAATTCGGTACGCGTGTTATTATCCACTCATTGGTTCCTGTCGTACTGAAAGAATTTCAGTCCCAGCACTCAGCACATTGAATGACATGGTTTAGTCACCTGAGAGAATGACGGAGCATCCATGACTTGCCAGGATATGGGGTCGTGTGCTGGGAGGCACTATCCACACGTGCCTGGACTCGATGGAGTAGTGCCTACTGTAGGGCAGGGAATGGCAGGGAAGTGGCAGGCTGCCATGATCTGAAAAGTTGGGAAAAAGTCACCCCACCAGCGGGTTTTGCGTTGGATTTGTGTGTTTTTCATTCATCAACGGCAACGTTCAGATATACTTCACCTTTTTGAGTATGTCACTTGTCGGGGACCGGGACCCTCCTCATTCAAAAGGTTATTTAGATGTTTAATGTTTACGTTGCCGCAAATGTACGAACATCGAAATGGATACAGTACCTCAAACCACCGTTTGCGTCAGTATTCTACCTGCTTTTGCTCAACCAACCAACCAACTGTTGGGAACCACTCGCACTCGCACCATCCACTCATCCACAACCATCCAAGTCCTGTAAAAGCTCCCTTCTACCATCTACCCCTGAGGTCGCAGGACGTTTGGATCACTGCCGATGGCCACGTGCTCCGCTGCGACGCCCGGAAGGGCGGCATCCGCCGGAAGTACGGGCCGTGCCTCCGGCGGCACCGAGGAGGTTGGAAGATTGGAGGTGGACATGTTATAGATATAGGGCGGACTACAAGGAACTAGGCCAACTGGACTAATTAATTCATGTTGTTTCTATCCTCTGCTCGGCACCACTTGGAATAGGTTTGTTGAATCTCCTCCAAGCTTCTAATTCTTGGAGGATGCCAGGAGGAGTGGAATCGATCCATCACAGGTACTGTAGTTAGTTATATAGTATAATCAGGGGGAAACACCATATCTCGGTCAAGAGTTGCACATATGTACTTCAGTATCTACTGCATTCTACCACGGATTGAGTATGTCCAGCCCCCAATCTGTTTGTGTGTCGTAAGCAGTATTTATATGGTTTTGTTCATGAACTGTATCAAGAGAGTTGTAACGCCATCAAGGTAGCTTCAATGCTGTTCAGCATTGATCAACACCTGCTACTGATAGTCTTGCGGTGGAGGCTTCCTGATTGGAATCACACCTGCCACACCAGAGGCTTATGGAATCAAGGGATAGGCGGGACTTATTAGGCTTTATGTGAACTTCCCAAGAGCAGTGATTGCTCCCCTGGCTCTCCCTCGTTTGCGCTGAAAAGGGGAAGCAGCCGTGACAGTCTTCCCGATCTGACTCCCGAAACAAGCCCTGGATACTTGCGTTGAAGTCTTGAGATAGGGACCTGCAGATTTCAGCCTTTTGCTGCTTCCCAACATTTTGGGGCGAACACGGTGCTTTGAGCCATAACCGCCATAACCAAGCAGGTGGATATCTTCCAATGTTTCTTCCAGTCCCAGGCTTTGCCAGCAATAGGGAAGGGCTCTCATTCATCACCCAGGCTTCCCGAATGGATTTTGGATGGTGGCCTGGAATCCCTACTGAAGGACCTGCTTGGGGAGGTGTTGGTGAAGGAACTGTGTGTTTGGTGCCTGCGATTTTATGGTAGGAAGTTGTACACAATGCAAAGCCGAAGAGAAAAACAGGAAGTGCAGTATCTAGTATGTATCAGGCAGGTTGCATGATGCATCGCCCGCCTTAATATTGGGCATTGTGCAAAGTGCTTCTTTATCTACCTCACTATCTCAAAAAGCAGCAGTAGGCAAAGTCTGTTAAAGGAACACATGTTTGCAAGACTGTGGATGCTTGCTGTTAAAGTGGCTCTTGTTTGAGGCAACCCCAAACTGTTAATCAACAAGTTCTCTTGCACCACCTGGGAACATCGTTAAAGCCATAAAGCCATACTTCAGTGGTTTGGATATACCGGACACTTTTGTCTCCAAAGGGTGTGGCAACTGTGGTCTCCAGGGGGCTCACAGACGAGTCTCGCATACCGTCATGCCACGACGGTGCTGTTGTTCCTCTTCAGTGAACGCCTCAGGAGCATTGGGAGTTCTTGGTGACAGAGACTGAAGCCATTGCTAGGCCGGCACAGAGCGGGATGTAGTTGGTGATGGGTTATTGGTGGTGTGATTGGTGATGCTATTGGGACACAAGATGTCCTTGTTCTATATTTGTTGATGCTAGAACTGTCTGGATCTGCCTGATCTTTGTTTTGCTGCTGGTGTTGGTGCTTTTCATTACGCAGACATAGATGCATAGATGTCGTTATCGTCATAGTGGCCCAGACAACGCTCATGAGCATATATCCTGTGCACTTGATACAGCTGGAACTCACCTAGTGGGTGCTGAATCCCTGCACATAGAAGGAGCGTTTGCACAGATGTTGTCCAAATTCACTTCCGAGATGCATCACATCCCCTAGCTCATGTGAGTAACTTTCTGGTTGGAGGTTCCAAACCCTGTGAATAACTTCGTGGATCGCCTGACCCAGGTGTTGGGGCTTGGATGAGGTCCGAGTGGATTGGTTTTTGGGGATCCTTGGCTCAGAAACTGGATGGGAGCAGCTGATCTGAGGAGCGTGAATCATCGCGTGGTCATTGGATGTCAGAGGCTCTTTAGTTCATATTCGATAACAACGGCTCTTTGGCCGCTGTAACCCTTCTCCAACTCTGTCAGGAATGTGGCCACATCTTTTTCCCAGAGCCCACCAGGGTAGGTGAACCTTTGAACAGGCCTGAGAAGGGCCTTATTTGTACATTGTTAATGTTATACATTCAAAAGTTATTTGTAGTATTAGATCCAAATATTGGAAAAGCCTCACAGCGCAGGGCTTCCGGCTGTTGATAAAGGCTGCGCTCGCCTCCCTTTGCTGTTGCCACTAGGGGCTCCTGGCATCGCTACTAGGTTGGAGTCTGGAGGCGGTTCATGGTTTTTATGAGGTGCTCTACCCTCGGCCCTCGGATCTGTGAAGTCACCTGGATGGGCCACTTGGAGCGCGGAAATGGGAGCTGTGGCTATGCGAGTAGTATGTGTTCAATAGATGGGACCCGAGTGGTTGGGTGGTTGGGTCCGGTAAGGTAATACTGTATTTGTTGCAGAGGTCGTCAGTCGTCCACCACAGGTGCTGTACATGTGTTGCGGTGATATACTTCACCAGACGACCAGACGTACTTACTCCGCTGTAGACAATAATCCTAAGAACCTTGGGGGAACATGCGTGTCACCCCGAGGTTCCTGGATGTGTCTTTTGTTGCTTTCATGTGAGTTGGGAGGTTACCAAAGCTGGCTCTCTCCCAGTCTATTGATCAATTCAATTGGTTTGTGTGGTTACAGTCTCACTTCTGATCCGATGATCCTTCAGGGACACCACAGACAACTAGTTTGCAACATTTTGGACCATGCGTGATCGATCCTGGGTTCCGATTCCGAAAATGTACTGAATTTGTATGATCGTGTTGTTCTTGCAGCAGAGAAAATCCCACAGAACAGAGTAATGCAGGGTATGCTGAAGTTTGCAAGCCAGCATCAATGTAAATACTATAGGCAGTGTTTCTTAGGCAGAACAAGGGCAGCTGTTATTTTTGTGATTAGACACAGCTGCGTTTGCAGCTCAGCACCCATGCAGTTTACAGTTCCCAAATTCTGTTGTGGCTACATGTGGCTACAGTTTGCTGGTTAAGACAATGCTTTCCCAACTATAGTTTGTGTTCGTCAAAATCCCCAGGAGTTAAATTGAACGGGACAGTAGGAACAAGCATGAGTTCCTTTTGCAAAAGCCTGAGAAAGTTTGCACTAAGTTTGTACAAAGACATCATGCTTACAATGCTTACCCATTTGGGGTAGGAGCAAGGATGCTACTAGGGGCTCCTGGCATCGCTACTAGGAGCAAGAACGCTACCAGGGGCTCCTGGCCTTAGTACTAGTAACAAGAAGCTATCTATTCGAAACAAGAATTTGAATTAGAATTCAATTTAACTTTAATTGGACTTTAATTAGAATTGAACATCATGCAGCAATGATACATCACCTGAGGCACAGGAGATCGGATTCCACCACAACTGCAACTTCCAGTAGCCCAGGTGGGGTTTCGACAAGGTTCAAAAAGGAAATGAGAACAGGCCATGGCGGCTTGGTGTCTAATTCGTCATCGGGTGATACAGTGATAAGCGTAAACAGGATCAAAAATTGATGAGGTCATTGTTTGGAAAGACTGTTTGGAAAGAACATCCTGCTATACATATTTTGCTTCGGGGCAAGTCCTCTAGTGAGAGATCATCACAACATGGAGGACAATTAAGGAAATTGTTAGATCAGTTAGATCAGATTCATTAGCAGATTTAGAAAATACATTCCCAAATCAATATCCTGGCTCTTGTTCCTTCCAGTAGTAATTGAAATGACATGTCAATGTGATGTCGTGGATCCATGCAGCTGGGAGGGATCTTCACCTAGCCAAACTCCACAAACAAACTCTGGTTGACAGGCCTTCTTTGCAGGACACCGCCGACGACTTGCAAAGGATCAGATGGAACTGCCCAAGGCGTGGGAGTGCAATGGAGAAACCTGCCAGAAGTTATCCATGCCAGGTCGAAAGATGTTTCATTGTTTGTTTTTGCAAGTGGCACGAACCAATGCGTTCGATTCAAAGTTGAGTGTGTGGATCGTTTGGCGAGTCTAACCGTCTAACCCAAACATGGTTAGACATCACCACTCAAAGCAAAAATGTTCATAAGGTTTCATCACAGGTACAAGTTTTTTCATGCACAGTCAGTTCATGTCGCGTACTTGGGGAATGACGGATTCCCTGAAGCAAGCATATTGGGTCCGGATCCCCTATTGTATAGCAGTAGCACATGGGAACTTCGAAAACTTTTGGTTCACCAAACTGCAATCCCATGATCAAGGCTTCCGCCTCATAGTTTGGTTTGGCCAGTCACAATCTCAGAGGTGGAATCATGTACACAGCCTAGTGTAGGTCACACCCAATTGCCTGAAGAACAGCCATTTGTGAAAGCTTCACAGCTTGACATGAACTCTCACGAAAAAGAAAAATACATGTAGATCCGACCTGCAAGTGGGCTTCAAAAGTGTTCAATCTCCGTAACAATCAGGCTGCGGTCGTTTCAAAGTGTCAGAAGCTTGGTGTTAAAGATGGAGTATCTCCACAAGAGGATATACAGCTAAACAATGCTAAATCACATTATCATCTCCTTTTCAATTTGTGCTACCCAGCATCACATGGAGCCGGGACCAGCCCACCCGACGACCTGCGAGTCGAATAGGGTCTCGGCCTTTTGGAGGCGAGCGGAGCCGCAAGCGGAGCCGGGGGACCGTGTGTCCTTTATCGGCGCCCAGGAACAACCGAAGGCAGGGGGCCACCGCAGCCAACCGTGATGGAGCAGTGGTGCAGCAATGTTGACTGTTGATCAATAAAAACACGTTTTTAGATTGCCAACTGTAAAGCCTCTTCATATGAGAGTTAAAATATTATCAACCGGATGAACCCTCAGGAGAATTCTTGGCCGAGCACGGCACTGAGCTTGGAAGTGCCAAAGATGCACTTGGCGACGGCGCAGATGCTTCAGGACCAAAAGTCTGGATGCTTCGGAGGCCTTGGACAACATTTCTTTCATGCGCTCGGTCCTTTCAAGGGACGTAAAGACAACCTTTTGTTACTCCCCTTCTAAACTTGTCATAGCATAGGCAGACTGGGACAAACAACGAGTTAGATGTACAGATTCATACTGTAATTCTTACTGCGTTTCCAGATTGCTCGGAATTGTTAAAGGTCTCCGGTGCCTTTGAGTGTCCTGCTTTTGGGTGTCCTACTTTGACGTTGTGATTCCGCCTTGATCAGCATCAAATTTTGAGCATCTCCATACACCCATACACACCAGCATCTAATAGCAAAAGCATCAGCCAAAGGAAGCCTTCATGAACTTGAGCTGGCCAAACTTGCACCAGAAACAGTGGCTGTCAAACGAATATATATATATATATACTTCTATAGTCTTATTGTTTTGGGTGCTTAATGCGAGTAGTTTTGCTTACTGTTTTGACTTAACCTACCTTCCTTCCTACCTTCGAGCCTACTCTATCAGGAGCTGTCCACTGACCAGTGATATACCCTCCCTCACACAAAGATAGGACCCAACTGGTACAGACATAGGACCCCACTGGTGCAGACATAGTTGGATGTTTTGCTTGGATTCTTGCCAGAGGATTTTATGTTAGCTTCCAGAGCTTTGAAGTATTGTTTTCTTTAGCGCTTCAAATATTTTGGAGCTGATGCCGATTTTGTGACCGAGAGAGCTGCTGCTTGCTGCAGCCGCGAGACTAGGGCAGGAGCCTTAAGAGTGTGATGCCAGTGAAATGCCAACAGATGCGGAGATACAGAGATACATAGTATGTTTTGCTTGATACGGGACATCCCAAGATACGTAAGATGCATTGAGCAAAAGCTTAGCAGGTTGAGCAAGCTCACACATGGGCATCAGCAAGTTCATCAGTGAGAAGGGGCTGACATGTTCGAGATTCCTGACACCGACAAAACTTAGGACTCCACATGACAATGTTAAAATTTAGAGCGAAGATCTCAAAACTAGGGTGCACGTGGTCCAAGGTCGAAGGAAAATAAGTATCCCAGTATCCCTGTTCCAAGGTGTTTGAGGTCAGACTGCATTCACAGATGCACTAGATGGGGCTGGGAAGGACATGCTGTGCCACTCAGGATGTGATGTTTCTTAGCCAATCCAAGCCACTGGGCATTCCTGTGTAGGGATATGTAACCAACATCTGGCTGTCCGGGAGGTTCACACAGGAAGAAGCCGTGAGGTGCACCGCAATCGCCCCCAGAAAGGAAAGCCCCTTTCAACACAGTATGTTTTGACATAACAGCTGTACACTTTTGCTAGCAGCCGCGCACTGTCACTTCAACCAACTCTTCGGGACGACCCCAAATGAAGTAAAATCCTTCCTGGAGGCCTGCAGGAAGATCAGTTGCCCACTTCCCCTTCGTTTTCGTCAGTGGCTTGTGTCTACTACTTTCTGATGTAACGCTCAACTGCTGTGGGCGGCTACGCCACCAACGCTCAGTGCTGTGCCGAGTGCCAAGGTGATTCAGCAATGGCCAGCTTCTTTCAACCCAGGCAGCAGCCTTATGCGATCATGACTACATGACTACACGTTGTGGGGATTTAAGATGCAAGGAAGTGTTGGCACACAGGTTTTGCCTCGTGGTCCAAGATGCTATGGAGCTGAGGTACCCAAACAACCAGCCAGCTGTTAATTCCAACACACCCTGTACAACCAGCTATAAAGCAAGCATTCATTAACTTCTCGGTGCAACAAGAGGAACACCGAGACCACTGCAATGACAAATCCTATAAAGATATACTTAAATTATCTTAAAATAAAAGACACTAATAGTATTGCGCATGTAGCGAACCAGAAAAGGCTAGTTGCACCAGACCTAGCCATGGTGACATCCCGCCACCCCGTGTGTAACCCCTGCAACTGTGTCCAGGAGGTCGAAGGATGACAAAGTACCACAGGTGCCTTCTGCAGCGGAGTCTCAGTCGAGCGAAGGTGGGCTTAGCCATGTAAATTCCAGTGGATCCACTACAAAATAGAAGCTAAACAGGTGGATCTACTGTAAGTTTTGTTGTAATTCGTGTGAATTCGTGCTCAAGACACATTTTGGGTCTTCATCTATAGTTGGTGGAATTCTTAGCTTTGACTCGGATTGAGTAGTTGAATGGCAGTGGCAGCCAGGGCTTTGGAGACTTTGGGGTTTTAGATGTTTCCCTGTCAGCAAAATCTGTCATGCGAAGACACCCTGGATTTTCCAGAAAGGCTTCAAAAGGGCGTAGGCATAGGTAAATTGATGTAAATTGGCAAAGGACAACCATCAGATCCAGAATCTTTTGGTTGGCTGTATTTTTTGTGATTATTAGATGTTTGTTGGGGTTCCCAGTGCTCCAACTGACCCTAGAATATGATTGAATATCGGTTATCATATTTAAGATCAACAGTTTACAGTCATTGAGTTTCGAGGAGGCTCCTTGGAGGTGGTAAGGTCCAAGCTGCTTAAAACAGTGCTGGTACTGTTTTTGGGCGTTTGTGATGTATAATGTTCGATGGGCTCCTGGTCCTTTGAGTCTTTGCGGGGACACCTCAGAGGTCGCAATATGATGTTTGTGAACGTGTCAGTAAGCGGGGTTGGGAAGGAAGATGTCCACCCTGTTCAACATGAAGGTCAACAACCACCTGGGTAAAGACCGTAAGTACCAGCAAATTACTCTAGACTGTGGGATGGGATTGGTGAGCAGGGGTGTCCACGAGTCCGTTAATGTTCAAGATGCTTGCACTTGTTCGTCTATATACAATTTGGGCTGACATGAGAGGACTAGCCACACGGCAGAAGTCAGAAGTCGCATTGCCATGCGTCAAAGCACGTTAACATTTGCATATGTGTGCGCGGGGCACACCACATGCAACGGTTGACCGAGCCGCCAGGAATCTCAAAAGGTCAGGACCTCAGGGGAGCCTCTCACAGGAGGCATTTGGAGGGCAACTGGGAAAACTTGACCCTGTAATGACACTCCGAAGCTGGCCTAGCCGCCTAGCCATCGATAGCCATCAACTAGTTACTACTTCAGGAATATCATCTTCAAAGCTGAAGAACCGCAGAGGTGACAGAGGTGGAAAGAAACATGAGCAAAGCCTACACTTTTCTGGTCCCTTGATTCTGCCCAGAAGTTTTCATACAGGAGGCAAATTTCAGAGTCAATTGAGCGGAGGCATCCACAGGGATCGTCGACTGTGTTGACTTGCTTTTGTGCAAGGCTTCAGGATCCAACGATCACTCCAGACCTTGATTGTCCAGCATCCAGTTCAGATGAGTACGGCTCACATGGGCATCCCCACGGACGAAGCACAACAACTTAGCCTCCAGTGAGATACACCCATTAAGTTTCCTTATGAACTATGAACTAGGGTTTCATCCCGAGTCCAGAACCCACTTATCAACTTGTCCTCGTCATGCTCCATGTCACAAGGATTGGACGGTGCAGCTTACACCCTTCTTTGCAGACTGACAGTGAATTTGAGCATAGATGATGCCCAAAGATGATGTATTGTCGGTACACACTAATGATGACATTGGCATACATTGGCAGTCTTCTTGTTTGCTACAGCAACCTCTTCAGGTGACAACTGACAAGAACCTCTCATCTACAGCCAGTTCAACACTTGTGGAAGAAACAGCAGGGCCCTCATGCTCTCGCCCTTGTGACAAGCGGTGATTGGTCGATTGGTAGCTCTCGCTCTCAGCTCAACGGTCCATGACCGAATCTCGCAACCATGAAGCCCTTCTTCGTTTGCGCTGGTGCCAGTGTGATCCAGGCGCCCCAGTGGTCTGCTGTGCCTTGGTCAGTGGTTAGAGGGTGTGAAACAAGACAAGAACAGCAAAGGAAGAAGAACAGGATAGGAGAAATCCACAGGTTTACACTCCGTAAGATCTACCAAGTATTTTCGATGCAGGGTGTTTCAATATGTTTCAAGCAGTGATTCAAGCATTTTAGCCATGAGCCAGTAAGTCCCCTCAGTTGTCACTTTCTGACCAAACCGGCGGTCAAGAAATTGTCCATCTTTGGTTTGCTTTTGTCAATTACATACATCAGTGGCATGATCGCAGGTCGTTCAGTGGCTGCATTTGAAGTGCCTAACTTGGGAAATCGGTGCCCTCTATGGGAGTGGTCGGTGTTGGAAGTCCTCTACTTGAATGCATGACCAGTGCGGGTCTACTGTTCATCTTAGGTGAAGAACATGGTGGACTCCTGGGTAGACTTGGAGCTGAAGCAGTCGCGCGTGCTGCTGAGCCAACATATTATGGAGCAGTGGAATATGTCCGACGGGAGAGAAAGGGTTGCCCACGAAGTATAGATGATTTTTGTTGCTGATTGAATTTTGCCGTTTCATATTCTGAGCGCAATTGCACACAGATGGTTTATTTCCCGACAGATCAGACACGGCTTTTACCGCACTGCTATAGGTAGAGCAACAGATCCCGAGGTTGGCAAAGTTATACAACGCAATTCTGGATGCTGATGCACTTGAGGAACATATACAGGTGGGGTGTTCATTTGCAGCAGGAGGTGCTCATGTGCTGTCACTCGTACATTTTTTGAAGGGAGTGTTGGGGTCGCCAAATTACAGGTCACACGGGATTCTTGGACCATGGTTCGCTCGGCTGGTAGCTTGCTTGACACCTTGGTTCGCCTGGTGTTTCGGCGCTCAGAGCAAAAATTCTTCGCATGTGGGATAATGTCAGAAGCGACTGTATCGCCAAACCGGTGAAGGCGCACTGTCTTCACTTCAGGATTCGAAGCTCCACCATTCCTGTAACGTAGGAATAGTTGCCAAGCATCTCGTTGACAGCATGGACAACCAACAACTGCATGGGATTCCCTGGTATTTCTTCCGGAGGGAACCTAGGACAAACGGATTGGAATTGTTCAATGGAGCGCGGGGAGATTGGTTGCTTTGGTTGTTCACGGATGTAAGCACCAGGTTTGTCGGTCCACGCATTCCTATGGTTTCCCCTCTGCCATCTTCCAGGACTGCGCGTTCGGAGTCCTGGTGGTGATGATGATCGCTGTGCGATCCATTGATTATGATTATGGCCAGGTGCGAATACGAAGAACATGAACGGGGCCTACGAGATGTTCTGTCAATAAAGTTGGACCAGTGAACTTGTTGAAACATGAATGCTGGAAAAGTGTTCTCTCCTGAGCATTCAAGAGGCTTGCAATATCGCAATATCATGATCGGGTGAAAAAAGCCTCAAATCGTCTCAAACCCTCATGAGAACCAGGACAAAAGCTCTCAGCCCAAATGCCAAATTCGATGTCAGAGGAGCTTTGACAGGATTTTGTACACAAAGCAATGCGTAACATCAACACCCAAATCCCCCATCACCCCAAAAAAATTCATCCCGCCAAAAAAAAATGAAAGTTTACAGTATTGGCCAAGGTGCTATGGAAGTGGTCCGCCATCACGTTAGACGCCGGAACCCACCGATGCCTAATCGGATATTCAGCCGGCAAGTGGTCCCCGGACATCATGTTCCATCCGGCCCAAAACTCCAGAAAGGAAACACAAACCTGCTCAGCAATCAACTCACAACCTCTCAGCCAATCCAAAACCAATTTCACAATTTCCTTCCCAAAGATCTTTGCGTTGCTAGTTTGTACGTACAAGAATGTTCTTTGCACCAACCGGGAGACTTGTCCCACATCTTAGCGTCAGGTGGGTTTCTGAGATGTTTCTCTTGATCAGTCAACATCAAAGGTTTCAACATTCACTTTTGAGGAATCGTGTCCAGCAATCCACTGGTGAATTCTTGACCCAGGAGGACTGCGACTCAAGTGCTGCTTGTCCAGAATAATTTGCGCGTTTTGTTTGACCAGCGATCTGTTCAGGTCGCCGCTGCCAGTGTCTTCTTGGAGCTTCAGAGTCTGCTGAAAAGGCTGGAGCCCCTGAAGGACAGGCTTCCCAGATCACAGCAGTGGTTCACACCAAGCAAAGAGGCAACATAATTCATACACACTCTGACACTGGTTTTCAGTTAACTCAATTACTCCGATGGGAAGGAAGGCGAGGGAACGGCAAGGTGGCAAAGTCCGCTGAAAAGTATTGTTCAACATTGTTCACAAGTGCACTCACACGTTCAAATGCGGCTGCAAAACGATCAAACGCGGTTGCACGTCTGCGGCAGGAAAAGGTTTGGGGGTGGAAACGTGAAGAACCATGAATCAAAAACGTGGAGAGTGGAGTCACAGCTTGATAGAACGGCAGGTACGCAGGGCTGATCGGGCCCTGCTTCCCACTCTCGCCCATAGCTTCGTTGCGTGTGGTAGGGCGAGAGTGCCACACGCCCCTGCCTGTGAGAAATAGTGTTGGAAAACCCTTTGTCCAGGGGTGGACACACACAAGTCGCCGCATTCGGCGCTTTTTCAAAAACCGGTGGCAGGCGTGATGGTTGTGTCCTTTTTGGACATAGAGCCTCACGAGTTCAGCCGCAGCAGCTTCAGCGCTGGAGGGTGGAAATGTGTATTTTCGAATGGTGTGAAGTCGTGATTGGAGGCCTGATAGAGCCAAGCGCTGGCTCCCGGCGGTTGTGGAATCCCTGATTTTCCAGGGTTGGGAAGGTTGTATGTAGGTGATGGTGCGTTGTGGGAGGTCGATGTTGAAGCCGAGGAGATGAAAATCCTCCACCGGTTCGAGTTCCACTGGGTCGCCAAAGAAGTTGTGGTGGATGAGGGTTTGGATGGCCGGGTGTTGGAGGAAATGTTCGTTGTGGACAATGAAACGGTTGTCGACATATCGATAGTAAGTAAAGTGGAGGTCTGTGTGTTGAAGGAGGTTGTTGTGGATCTGATGCCATGAATGCTCAATGAGGGTGATGGCAACATTGCATAGGGCTGGAGAGAGCTGGGATCCAATCCCGGCCCCTCGGATTTGTTTGTAAGTATTGTTGCAAGCCCGGAAAATGCATGTGTTGAGGGCAAAAGCCACGATGGTGGTAATGTCGGAAGTCTGGATGGTGCGTTGGGTAGGGTGTTTGCGATGGTGCCGGCCAATGTGTGAGTGGTGGAAAGGATTGCCGGTGGCCTGGACGTCCACCGTCAGGGTGTGTGTTGGTTGCTGTTGTTGCCAGTGGTGGACGAGGGAATGAACCGCATCGATGAGTCGGTGCTGTGGGACTGAGTTGAAGAAGCCGACCAGGTCATCGTTGGTGGCGTGTAGTGAGATGTCTGGTGGAGTTTGGGTGAGGTAGCTGTGAAAGTGGTGCCAAAGCTGGGGAATGGACATTTGGCCGGGATGCTGAGGGTAGAGGTGTTGGAGGATGATGTCAAGGGCACGGCTGGTAATGCGAAGCAGGTTGCCACTGAGTGATTGGAAGTATGAGATAATTGCACGGCCTTTTTGCCAGTGCTTCTTCTCCTTGAGGTGGACAACGCCGTAAGGAATGTTGAAATCTTTTCGAAAACCCCACTTGTAGCGGGTGCGCAAAATGGGGGGGACAGTGGCGGCCAAGTGATCGTGGATATTGGCGGCAGTGATGTAGGGAAGTGGTTCGAAAAGTTCGGGGGATTGCCATGTATTCAAGGCGCCAGTGAAATATTGGCGAGGGCAAAACAGCCGGAGTTGTTGGAGCTCATGGTCGGCATGGTGAAGTAATGTGTGTTGGCCAAGATGTTCTTGGAGTTGGCGAAGCAGGCGAGCCGTAAAACGGGGTTGCTGCTTGAGGTGTGTGTTGTGGAGGCGCCATTGGTGCTCAAGGAAAGGCTGCAAGTGCTGAACGAGGGATGGCGGAAGCCCTTGTAGTTTGAGCCATTTTGTGTAGGCCGTCTTGAACATGATGAAGTATCGGGCCTTGCTTGGGTAGTAGGTGCTGTTCATGTTGGCGTTGAGAAAAATGCCGAGATGTGTAGGGAGTTGGAGTTGGTCAAGTGTAAGGATGTAGTGGCCGTTGATGGTGGGGGTATCGGGATCCTGCAAGAGGGTGCGAAGGTGATCGCATGCGCAGGGGAGGTCTGCCGGATCTGGTGGGGAGTGGAGGGTGTCCTCCCATGTGCGGTGGTTATGCAGGTGGGAACTGAAATGCTTGTGCTGCTGGATGGTAGTACGAAGCCACTGCTGGCAGTGCTTAGTGAAGTCGTCATGGGCCAAGAAGGGCACTGTCAATGGAATGTTTGGTTTTGGCGGTGTGAGGTTGCGGTAGATTAGGGCTTTGTTGAGGATGTGGAGAGCTCTGCTACGGCCGGGTTCTTCCAGGTTCGCGGCCATGCGCCGGATTGCATAGACTTCAAGGTCCGTGTGGCGGCCGCTTCGTAGCTCTTTGGCAGCTTCAAAAGAGGCTGCTGTGTGTTTGGTGAGGTTGCGGAGAAGGTGGAGGGCGTGATGCTTGGTGGAGGTGTAAAGGTGTGGTTCTCGGAGCGTGTATTGGCGTTGCCTGAGGCGTCGGAAGAGTCGTTTGTGGGTGGCTAATCTGGAGTAGAAATGGGCTCTGTGTTTGGTGAACTGCCAGCCTTGAGCTTTGAGCTTGAGATGGTGGGAAATAAACGGCCAGTTGAGGGTAGGCATCCAGTTTGCGATGTAATGGTGCTCTTGGATCCAGGCTTGGTCGTATGTGTCATGGGAGGTAAGTTGAATAGTAGTGTAGTGATGGATGTTGTCGTGTGAATGCCAATAACGTAAGGAGAGTTCGGCAGAAATGGGGATATTGTTCTGGAGTTGTTTGAGTTTGGCACGGCGATTGTGTTCGCGGTGGGGAATGCCGATGGCTGTGGACCCCACATAGAAGTGGCCATGTTGATGGTAGCAGCGTTGGGGCTGGTCAGGATTGAAGTGGAGCTTGATGTAAACGGAATTTGAGGAAAGGAAGTTGTGGTAGTGGTATGTGTGGGGCAAGGTGTGAAGCTGGCGGAGACGGTTGCGCCATTGTTGTGAACGACGGGTGTTGGAAGGGTATGCGAAAAGGAGTGTGATATGAATAAGGCCAGTGGCGAAGATGGCCTCGGCACGATCGATGTATTGGGTACGGTGAATGAGCACGGAAAGTGCTCGGTGCAGGTGGAAAAGTTGGGTGAGGTTGGTGTGGCTGGGCAAGGATGGCGAGTCAGCAGCCGATGGCTGCTCCAACACCCACGAGCTGTTGTAAGCTACGAATGGGGAGCCGGTTGACCCGGTTGAGAGGTAGGCCGTACCTTGTGGCTGCTTCTTTTAGCTGCTGCGTGGTAACTTTGCTCGTTTGCAGCAGACGAACGACGTCTTGGGCGGCCTCTTGGATGGTGGGGTCGAAGGTAGTGACCCATTGTTGGATCTCTGGGTGGTTCCAGCCCTCGGGGATATCGTCTTGCAGCGTTGGGTGTGGAGGTTGCAAGACGTCAGTGAGGGCAGGCGGTTTTGGTGGTGGTGGAGTGTTGCATGGGATGGGGCGGCCGGTGCGGAAGATCGGCTGGTGCTCTTGACTGGGGTGAGTGGGTTGCCCAGGTCGTGGAGCTTTTGACGTGCGCGGGCCAGTTCGTCGTTGGTGTTTTTGAGGGCGCGTAGAGCGGTGCCTTCCGCAGGTGCTGGAGAGTGAGTTTGTAGTTGGTCGATAAGTAGTTTGATGAGGGGAGCGTGAAACGCTCGGGCGTGGGTGGTTTTGTTGGGGATGTCCGTGCTCTGTTGGGTGTGGAGGGTCTCCGCGATGCCGTCAAGGTCAAGGCGTTTTTCACGGAGCTGTTGGAGAAAATGGGTCACGAAAACCGACTCCGCTATGCTTCTGGTGGCAATAAAACCTGTGTACTTGCCGTTGCTCAGTGTGCGGGCGGTGAACTCGGAGGTGCCGTGGTAAGCCAATTGCCACGGGAAAACCTCAAAGGTTGGGAGTCCTGCCACGCCTGCTTTTCGAGACCACTGGGTGGGTTGGATTGTACGATGTAGTTGGTGGCCGTGCAGGGTGTTGGAGTCCCAATGTTGCTCGGTTGGGTTCCAAGAGTCTGGAACAGGTGGAGTGGGGGATGGGCTGTGTGGTGGTGGTGGAGCAGGCGCTGTGTTGCCACGTGCGGTTGGTGGTGGCGGTGGGCTGTGTTGGAATGTCGATGGTGGTGGAGTGACAGGTTCGGCCGTGGGGAGGGGGGGCGGTGGCGGAGGCGGAAACTCCGGCTGTGGGGTTGGTGCCTGTGGTGGCGGTGTATGCTGCGATGGCGGTGTGTATGGTGGAGTCACATACGGGTTGGAGTGGTGGACGTGGTGTGTACGGAGTGCGTGGGTGAGTGGGCCATAGGTGCCTGTGGGGCTGTAGGTGTGGTGAGTGGTGGTGGGAGGTGAAGTTGTGGTGTCCGGGTTGGTAAGCTGCTGATGATGTTGCTGCATCAAATAATGATTCCAGTAGTATTGCTGCCACTGCGCGTCCATGGTGGCTGGGCAAAGTGTCACTGGATCGTGGGGCGAGGAGCACCGAGTGTTGATTTGAGCAAGCTAAACATGCGAGATCACGTCTGGGAGTGTCAATTGAAGCAGTAAGCAGTGCCAGTTGAATAAAGAGGCGGTAAAACACTTAGCCTGTCGAAGACCAGAGTGAAAAATGAAAAAAGAAAAGGAAACGGCTGAGAAAAACCGGAATGCTGCCGAAGTCTAGAAACAGTTTTTTGTGGTAATCCAAGTCAAAAGGTTGGTGAGTGACTTGCCGCTGAGACGCACTGTTTTTCGTTGTGCAAAGTGAAACCGAGCGTGTTGGTCTGCGGACTGAGTTGAGCCAATGTCCGAAGATGATGGTGGGCGTGTTGTAAAAGGCTGTAGCAAAACCATGCACAAACACGAAAACCACGAAAAGTGTATGGGATGGAGTGGTTGTTGTGTGAATCATCCCCAGATAGATCATGGTAGGCACCTCAGAAGCTGCCGCCGCTTGATCACTGGTTGTCTGCATGCCACGGGTCCGTAGCGGGGTCATAGTTCTGGTGAGACAATGGCAGGGGGCGCCCCTGCGTGT